TAGGAGTGCAGCCAACACAAAACGCGTGGTTCCACCCACTTGGCCGCCTTCCAAAACAACAAACTTGGTTATTTTTGGCCCTTTTCAACAAAACAACGAACCTGGTTGTTTTTGGGGGGGCGGCTAGGTCAGGGGGGGTAGGGGGGTAGGGGGGGGGGGGGGGGTAGGGGGGTGGTGGGATCAATTCACATTCTTCTTCTCCCCCGTGATAAGGTGCGGCTAGGCAGGGGGGGGAAGGGGGGGGGTAGGGGGGGGTAGGGGGGGTAGGGGGGTCGGGGGGGGAAAGGTGCCAACAAAAAACGCGCAGTTCCAGAAAAAAGGGTACCAACAAAAACAGGCCGCGCAGTGCCGTGGGGAGAGGTAACTGCGGGTCCAGGGAGAAAAGTACGAGTCCAGCTTCTTGACGCCGACAAAGGGGGTCGGCGGATATTGCTTGTGACATCTTGTGCATGTCGTGGTCAATCCCGCAAAAGCTGGCTTCTTTGAAATTCAAAGCTGAAACCTTCGACCATCCCATGCCCGTGCACGCTGGCCGTCGAGGGGTTTAGTAGCGAGCTGCGAATAGCTAACTTTGAACTTGGGCCACAAACGCAGCACGAAAGGGCCATGTGCAGACAACGAGCTGCTGTAATATGCAGTCATGCCAAAGCAAATGGGATGTGTGCAATGCTGTGCAATGCTGTGACCCCAAATGCTTCCGGAGGTGGCTTGCAGCTCCGAATGCCTGCGGCACAAGCTGCAGTCCTTGGGTGGCGGCACCCACTTCTGCTACCGGGGCCGGGCACTGGGGCACCGGGGCCGGAAGGGGTTCGGGACAGGGCTTCCACAGTCAGCCAGGGGCGGGGCTTCAAGGTGAAGTCTAATGTAACGAAACCTGTGTTGACAAGTGGCAAAGCTCTAAAGGCGCATGGCGACAACATTGTACTCGTAGGACATGTTGGGGGGCTGCGGGGACGAGAATCTTCCGAATGCCATGCCATTCTGGACACTGACGTTGTCCAACATCGCTTTCGATGCCAGGCTTCGTCGCACACGAGCAGGCGACAGATGCGGGCTACAGCCGCGACACTTGGATACACTTGGGCTGCACAGGATGAATAGGAAGTGCACTGATGTAGCGAAGCGGCATCCCCTCTGATACGAAGCTGCTTTACCGGAGAGCTGCCAGGACAGCCTCGACAGCCCTTGGGCGGTCCTGGTTTGCCGTGTTCTGGTTGGCAGGCCAAGCAAAATGCACAAAAAAGATCAACACGACCCCTTGCCTTTCGGTCTAGTAAGGAGTGTGTCTCAGCATTGGGCCACCCAATCGAAAGCCCCGACCGACGCGCTCACGACAGGCCTCTGCGCCACAGCGGCCGTCGTGGGGGACCACGACTGCAGCGGGACTGGGAAAGTGGCCGCTTCGGGAGCCTCCTCCTGGGCCACTCATGCTTGGCAGTTCTGGTTGTTCAAGTTGCCAGTCAGAGGGCGAAGTACATCTTTGGCGGCAACTAAAATTGAAGCATCAGGGCAACATTCGCCTGTGCCTGACCTCTGCTCTGCACGTCGGCGCGAGGCATCCATAGCGCAAAAGCACGCAGCACAAACGCCCCCCTCCTGCCGAAGCAAATGGCGGAAAACCTATCGGGACACTAGCAGCCAGCACAAATGGCATGGAATGCTGTAGGCTTGAATGAAGCAAAAAGACGGCATCATAGTTTTCACTTCAGCGATGCTCAGGTGACGAGACCTCCCGCACAGAGGTTTTCATCCCACTGGACGCAGTGGCAAGCATTTATCCGGAGTATGCTACTTGACTGTGAGATTTGTCGGTTCTTGTTTTTGAGACGCTCAGTGCAGGAAGCACGCGGGAAAAGGGAAAAAGACTTCTCAGGCACTTTCAGTCCCCCCTGGTACGTCGTACTCGTACTCGGTACTCCCCGTCGTCGTCGCCATCGCCGTCGCCTTCGTCGTCGCCGCCGCCTTCGTCGCAGTCGTAGTAGCAGTAGCAGCAGGTAGCAGTGGTAGCAGTGGTGGCAGTAGTAGTGGCAGTAGCAGTAGTAAGCGTCGTAGCAGTAGTAGCAGTAGTAGGAGTAGTCGCAGTGGTAGCAGTAGCAGTAGCAGAAGCAGTAGCGGTAGCCGTAGCAGTAGCCGTAGCCGTAGCAGTAGCAGCAGTAGCCGCTTGTTCCTGTTCTTGTGCTTGTTGTGGTTGCTGTTGCTAGCCTTGGCAGAGACGTGCTCATTGAGTTTGTTCGAGGGGCAATCGGGGTGCTGTTGAAGAAGCCGGTAGACAAGTACGACAGCACAAGAAGCTGTTTGCTGAGGTAGTCATCCTGCGATGACGACCGCAGGCCACGCAATTCCTGCATCTATTTCTGGATTGTGGTGACAGTCTGCAGTTGCATGCCGAGCACCCAGTGATTATGCCGTTCCAGCTAGTTCACCAGGTCGGGCTTGTACTCGGGGATTGTACATCGTATGCTGTGGCTCAAAAACAAAAATATTCTAGCGCACAGGCTTGCACAAGAATTCCAGTGCACAGGTTGGCGGCTGCTCTGACAGATCACACATCACCTGCATCTGGATGGCAGCTGCAAATCGTAGAGTAGCTAGGTGCCCTCACTGGCCAAATGCGTGTTCCAAAGCACTAGCTGTACAGCAAGGCAGAGACCGGGGCATACTCCCATCTCTGCAAGAGTTAGAGGTCAGGAGTTTCGAAGCCACGAGAGGGTTTTGCGATGAGGAGCTTTGACCCGTGACGTGACGTGACTTTGAAGCCTTGGCCTTCCAAAGATGCACAGGCATCTCGGGACCGGAAGCAAGGTCCCAGCTCAGGTTTTCCGCTTCCCGAAGGGTCCGGAAAACCTGCTTCCAGGACCTTGTCGAGTTAGTGCATACTTGGCACAGGCCTTCGGATCTGCGAAGAGCCTAGGCCCCCAGCGCAAAATTCACAAGTAGTGCGGTTTCCATGATCCAGCGCTTGGTTCCTTCTTGGTCATAGGAGTGCTTGTAGCACTTTTCAGTCACAAGCCCATGGAGTCGGGAGAACTTTGCAGCCCAGAGTACTGCGGCTCAAACTTGCAGAACTGACAACCAGCTCGTGTCGATTGACCTTTGATCGCAAAGCGAACCCTTGACCGGCCAATGCTTTTGTGAGCAGACATACCAAGCAAATGGTGACCACTCTTTTACCACTGCTCTTATGTTGAAGTCGGTGCACAGCCTGAGCACCACCCTTGGCCTGCACCCAGTGACCTGGTTGGAGACTGGGCTTAGCAAGAAAACGTCGCACTTCCGTCACAGTTTCAGGGGATTTACGCTAGGAGCTTCACTAAACTTAGGATTGGGTGTATGGAAATACGACCGTCTTCCGCTTCCCTGGCACGGAAGGACTGGGCGGAACGGGGTGGAAGTAGGAGTTGGAATGGGGCGGTGTTGCAGAAGCGGCCCTGGATGGAAGAAGCTTTGAATGCGAGTGGAAACGCGTCCCACAGGGATGCTTTGAGCGGAGAAGTCTTCCCGTCCTTGACAGGCCACGTCGCCCTTACCATTGATGATGGACTCTGTCGAAGCGGGTCATCCAGCTCGATGATTGCGGAGGTGCGGCAGCTTCTGAAGGACGGAGCTTTGTCGGCTTGCACAATCGGGGTGGGGCAAAGGTTGCATGTCCGATCTTGTTGCGAGGAATTCGGTGCCAAGGCCACCTTCTTCCTTTGCTCTGACTACGTGGATGGCTTTGAAGACGACGCCAAAGGGCTCCTCGCAGATGGCCACGAGTTCGCCAACCACTGTGCCTTGGAGTAAAGCATGGCGGTGACACTGGCTTTGTCAATGCACAGCAACCAGCTTGAACATTCCAAGTATCCTCCGTAGTGTGGACCAAGCTGGAAGAGCTGTATTTCCGCACTACTACAATCGAACTTGAAGGCGTCGACGGTCATGGCTTGTTCCTGTGATGGTGGTTTGAGGTCCTTCAGATGGTGTGGATTACTACAACATGTTGCCGGAGGAGTTCGAAACTGAACTGCTGAAGACCTCGCGAAAGATTCAGGAGAGTCGTCCAATGTTGTTCGCGATGGTGGTGATTCAGTCAGGAAAGTGTGAAAGAGGACGAACAAGGGATAGGTGCTAATATGCTACGTGTCTTGTTTTGGTCACTGCCCCGCTGCCCAGTAAGAGATCTTGACAGGAGGTGAGTGGGGAAGTTCCCCGCTGGTTCCGTGCGCCGCAAGGAAGGACCCCACCTTAGCCCGTCGAGTTTTTTTTTGTGTGTTTTTTTCCTTCACCACCTGCAGTCCATACATCACAAGGTACTCTGGCACAATGCACGGCGCTGTGTCGAAGCACGGCATGCACCACGCCCTGGGCGACTGCTACTGCGACGACTGGGCTGTTGAGGTCATGGTGCATCGCAGGAGAGCTGCCTTTGGTCTGGTCTCTGACTGTTGCTAGAAGGATGCTGAGTGGGTGGCCCGCACCATGCTGGCACAGGCACATCAAATGGTGTGCAGAAGGCGCGAATCTGAGGGCTTGGAGCACGGTTTGGCACTTCTTGCAGGTTCGCAGCGGCTCGGTGCTGATCGCGCACATGCCAGAACGAGGCTCGGAGCGGAGCGAAGTCCGCGCTGTTTGCGCACTTTTTACAGCACGCTCTCGTGAGGCTTCCGCGAACACATCTACCAGGTCACTTGGCCGTGTGAACAAATTTGGGCAGTTCCATGTGTTTCCTCATTCCTTGATAGTTTTGCAATGCTCTGCATCTTCACTTGCACAAGGCACTCCAATTGATTCTGGAAGGCCTGGGGTTTTCACATGCCTTCAACCGCAGGGCTTGGGTCAGCGCTTCCAAAAGTTACCTGCAAATATCGGCGGATAAAGCCGGTTGCGAAACGTGCTTGGAGAAAAGCCGTGAACCAAAAAACAAGCTTAACAGCGCAGTCAGTCCAGAGCATCCAGCTTGAGGGAATGTTGAAAATGGACCGGGGGCCTTTTGGGTGAACGATAACTGGTGCATGGGGGTCCACGGCCTTTGAAGTCGGGGTGGGGGGAAGCGGGGGGCGGGAGGAAGGGAGGGCGGAGCGGGGGGGAGGGGGGGGGGGTGGGGTTGGGGCGCAGAATGCGGGAAGAGGAAGAGGTGGTAACAGCGCGAGGCCTGGGAATGGGAAGCGAAAAAACAATTGGAGACCCAAAACACCCTATCAAAGCTCAAAAGCTCAAAAACGGAGAAATTGGGGCACGTTCCGAAGCGATGACCAAAATTGAGAATGAGTGACCTGCTCCTCCAACCCAATTAGAAGTATGGGCCGCTTTGGCCCTCCCCCTGAGTATCGGGAGGACTCCGGCAGCGCGGCTTGGCCGTGGTCACCCTCAGTGCCTTGGAGGCCCAGCAGGGCGCGCCTTTGCCGAGGGCGCTGGCGCAGCACCCGCCGCAACGAGGCACTCGCTGCCCTGCGCGGTGCACGGAAAATGAAATGAAGACATGAGTAAAAGAGATTGAAGATGGTCACCTGGTTGAGGTTTTCTTGGAAGGAAAGGGTGTGAGAGGAGCACAGAGATGCAGACCGGCCATGATCTTTCTTGTGCCAGTGTTCAGATGAAGCAGGTTATGCTGTCATCAGCCACCACAACTTTGGCGTGGTGGATGGAGTTGTCTTCAACACCAAGGAACAGGCGAAGCTTCAAGTACTTTGTGAAAGCGTTTCTGACAGAATATCAAGCAGTGCAAGACCACGATGTGCACATCCGGAATTCGCTTATTTAAGGGGCTGCGCCCATGGGCGGGCAGCGCACGCAGAAGCTCGGGGCGAGCAGTTTCTAAGCATGTTGAGGCCCCTAAACTCCCTTAAAATCTCTAAGCGTTAAGTTTCTAAGCATTTTCAGGCCCCTAAACTCCCTTCAAATCTCTAAGCGTTTGAGGCTCCTAGACTCCCTTAACGTTTCTAAGCACTTTATAAGGCCCCTAAACTCCCTTTTTCCTAGCCCCGGGCTTAGACACGTCGCTTGTGCCCGCCCTTTGCGGGGCATCATGCTCCTGATGCGCCCCCGGGGTCCCGCCCCGGGAGCCGCTGATGCTCCTGATGCGCGCCTGGGGGTCCCGGGCTGGACCCGCTGATGCTCCTGATGCGCGCCCTCTGGGGGCCTCCGTGGCGACGCAAAAAACCACGAAAAAAAAACCGTTCACCGGCGGCACGCGGGGGTCGGCGGCACTGGCGTCCGGCCTAATTCTGCTTCGCAGAAGGCCAGAGGCCAGCAAGGCTATTCCCGGGACGACCGGGCTAAAAGGTCCGCATTTGCTCGGTCCTTTGGGGACCTCGCGCTGCCCGATTTTTAAGGGGCTGCGCCCATGGGCGGGCAGCGCACGCAGAAGCCCGGGGCGAGCAGTTTCTAAGCATGTTGAGGCCCCTAAACTCCCTTAAAATCTCTGAGCGTTAAGTTTCTAAGCATTTTCAGGCCCCTAAACTCCCTTCAAATCTCTAAGCGTTTGAGGCTCCTAGACTCCCTTAACGTTTCTAAGCACTTTATAAGGCCCCTAAACTCCCTTTTTCCTAGCCCCGGGCTTAGACACGTCGCTTATGCCCGCCCTTTGGGGGGCATCATGCTCCTGATGCGCCCCGGGGTCCCGCCCCGGGAGCCGCTGATGCTCCTGATGCGCGCCTGGGGGTCCCGGGCTGGACCCGCTGATGCTCATGATGCGCGCCCTCTGGGGGCCTCCGTGGCGACGCAAAAAACCACGAAAACAAAACCGTTCACCGGCGGCACGCGGGGGTCGGCGGCACTGGCGTCCGGCCTAATTCTGCTTCGCAGAAGGCCAGAGGCCAGCAAGGCTATTCCCGGGACGACCCGGGCTAAAAGGTCCGCATTTGCTCGGTCCTTTGGGGACCTCGCGCTGCCCGATTTAATGGCTACCGCCAGTGCCGCCGACCCCAAATTTTCCAAGGTCTAAACCCTCCTGAGCTCCAATTCCTAAACCTCGATCGGGTCTGCCAGAGGCCCGTAAAACCAGGTGGCCATGAGCCACTGGGCATAGGGTCGGGGAGGAGGACTGGAATGGTTGGGAAGGGGAAGGGTAGTGGGAGGGGCAGGGGAAGGGGTTAGTGGTGGGAGTGGGGGGGAGTAGGTGGATCAGATGAGGTAAGTGGCTGGAGAAGGGTGGATTGGGGGTGGGGGAGGAGGATGGAGTGGAATGGTTGGGAAGGGGAAGGGAAGTGGGGGCAGGGGAAGGGGTTGGTGGTGGGAGGGTTAGGGGGGGGCAAGGGTGGGGGTGGGAGGCGAGCAAGCGAAGTGGGCGGAGCTAGAGGCAAAGGCCAGAGGCAAAGGGCAGAGGCCCGGGGTGGGAGGGAAGGGCGGAGCAAGCGGAGCAAGCGGAGGGGGCGGGCATGCACTGGAGCCCTTTAAAGTCAGTCATCTGATCGAGTCTAGAGAGGCAAAGGGCCAGAGGCCCGTAAAACTTGGGGCCACCATCAAGGGCGAGGCCCGTAAAACCAGGTGGCCATGAGCCACTGGCATAGGGCCAGGGGGGGGGGGGTGGGGGGGGGGGGATTGGGGAGTTGGGGCGTGGAAGGGAGGGTCGGTTCGGGCCTCTGCGTGGGGAAGGGGGGTGGGGGCGGGGGCGTGGGGGTGGTGTGGGGGAGGGTGGGGGTGCTTAGTGGGGGTGGCAAGTTGGGGTGAAGCGGGCGCGGGGAAGATGGGGATAGGGGAGCGGTCCGGGGGGCGGGAGCACAGGGCAGGGGGAGGGGAGCGGATGGGGGTGGGGAGTGGAATGGTTGGCTGAGGGGGGGGGGGGGGGGGGCGGTGGGGGGTGGGGCTGAGCGGGTGGGAAGTTGGGTGAAAGCGGTGAGAGGGCGGACAGAGGTGGGGAAGGGGAGCGGTCGGGGGGCGGGAGCAAGCGGTGGAGTGGAATCGGGGAAGGGTGGTGGGGAGTGGGGAGGGGAAGGAGATGAGGTGAGTGGGTGGGGTGGGGAAGGGGTAGGGGAGGAGGATGGAGTGGAATGGTTGGGAAGGGGAAGGGTAGTGGGAGGAGGGGCAGGGGTAGGTGGTGGGTTAGGGGCGGGGAAGGGGTTGGTGGTGGGTGTGGGGGGTGCGTGGGTGGGGGGGGGGTGGGAGTTGGGGGTCAGGGCGGCGGAGGCGGGAGAGGGGTGGGGTGGCATGGTTGGGAAGGGGAAGGGTGGTGGGGAGCGGGGGGGAGGGGAAGGGGTTGGTGGGAGTGGGAGGGGGGATGAGGTAAGTGGCTGGAGAAGGGTGGATTGGGGGTGGGGAAGGGGTAGGGGAGGGTGGAGTGGAATGGTTGGGAAGAGGAAGGGTAGTGGGAGGGGGGGGCAGGGGAAGGGGTTGGTGGAAGGGTTGGGGTTGGGCAAGGGTTGGTGGGTGGGTGGAGTTGGGGGTACGGTGAGAGGGGGGCAGGGATGGGGAAGGGGTAGGGGAGGAGGATGGAGTGGAATGGGGGAAGGGGCAGGGGAGGAGGAAGGAAGGGCAGTGGGCGGGGCAGGGGAAGGGGTTGGTGGTGGGAGTGGGGGGGAGGGGGGTAGGTGGAGGAGATGAGGTAAGTGGCTGCATTGGGGGTGGGGAAGGGGTAGGGGAGGAGGATGGAGGGTTGGTGGTGGGAGGGTTCGGGGCGGGGAAGGGGTTGGTGGTGGGTGGATTGGGGGTACGGTGAGAGGGGGGGCAGGGATGGGGAAGGGGAAGGGGAGGGGGATGGAGTGGAATGGTTGGGAAGGGGAAGGGTTGTGGGAGGGGGGGCTTGGGGAAGGGGTTGGTGGTGGGAGGTTAGGGGCAGAAGGCAAGGCCAAGTGGAGAGGTGGAGTGGAATGGTTGGGAAGGGGAAGGGGGAAGAGGTTGCGGTGAGGGCAGGGAGGGTCTTCACTGACGCCGCCCCGCTGTTGCTGGGGTCGGCGGAGAACGGATGCGAAACGAGCCTGTCCCAGAGCCGCAGAGGCAGCAAAGTAAGATCTTCCACACTTTCTCAACATCCAGAAATTCGAAAGCAAATGCTGGGGCAAGTGGGAGTGCGACTTGGACCGCGCGGTATATTTTGTCGCGTGCCATGCCTTTGTTTGTCAGCAAGGCCAAGATTCTGCGGACATTGTGGCGAGCAATTTCGATCCAAAACCTTTACTCCTCTCTGAATGCGGCAATGCACGAACCCCGCTGTGCGTGCACGCTGTTTGGGGAGGTCTTTTGAAACGATCATTGAGTACGCGACGGTCCTGAGACCAGCAATTGCCTCTGTCACAAGGCCGTGGATCACTGGCATCGTTTGTCGCTGTTCTCTGCCCACATGCTCATTGGTGTCCCGGCTTGTCGCTTCTGATTCTATCTAGCTTCAAAGAATGATGACATCAGCTTCAAGATTAGCCTCCAAAAGATGGTCCTGGTTGAAAAATCTCATGCGATGCCTTGTCTGCTGGGATGCATTCCGTACAGAGTCCGAGGCCCTGATGGCAACGAGATCAGGTACTATGGCAAGCGTGGCGGTAGGGATGATGAGATGAGGACCTGGTGGGAAGACCACGCCGTGTCCTAGTCGAAAAACGGCTGCTCGTCAAATGAAGTTGAAGTCAGCATTGAGTCTGGGTGACGTTATCTCATGTTTGGCTCATGGCTCAAACGAGCGGGGCAGCGGGACGCCCTTTCTCTTTTAGTCCTGGCCTTGTGAATTGCAATGGATTGCAGTGGCATGGTTTCACAGAGTCTTGGCAGATTTCTGGTTTTGACATGGGAGAGCGCAGGCAAGGCTGGAGGCTGCGCAAAATCTTGTGCCAAGGCATGGAAGCTTTCGCCGACAATCCAGACCAACTTGGGCGATATGACGGGCCAATACGGGGCAAGGCGTGGACCATTGTTCTTCCCAAGCCTTGGACGAGCTGTCAGTGTTTGCAGAATGTGCCTGTCACTTTTTGTAT